GTCACTCCAAATCCATTCTGGAAGCCTTTCTTGCTCATAACCACATTCCTTTAGACTTTCAGCTAATTCTGAGCAATTTTTAGCGTTTCCACTTATTTCTCATTTTGCCATAATTGTAACCCTTGCATATTTTCCCTTGCTTGGAAAGGATTATAGGTTTTGCCTCTTTCTCCACTACATAGCACAGCACTTGGCACCAATGCTGCCAAGCACTGCTGATCAGGTTGTGCTCTGAGGCAATGAGCAGTGGCCAGTACCAGCCTGCACTGTAGTTGCCGTGCATGGTACCTGCCTTGAAAAAGGGATGCCCATCTCTAATATGCACTAGCTCTATGGAATGATGACAACTCTGCTTATCACATAATAGGAGCTCAAGTAAAGTTGATTTCCTCTCTCTCTGTCCTCACTTCACTCCTCCATCAGCTAGTGCTGCTCCTGGCAATAAAGTCAGATGTCATCCTAGTCTCTGGATGATGTCAGTCTTCTCTGGAGCTATATAGGGAAGAACCCGTGAAGCTTTCTTCTTGGGAGGAGAGAGTCCCTGGGCTCCTCTTTTATAAGTTCTGGTGTGTAGGGGCAAAGTTGTGTTGTGGGAGGATCTCCCCTGAATGAAAGACAATACCTTACATACCTTTAAGCCTTAAGGAGCACCCCAGAATGATCAGATTCACAGGGCTCTTCTAGTCCAAGGATGGTAAACATCACAGGAAGGACACTTTTCTCCCTAACTTGTTCAGAGTGATACTGGGAAAAGAAACTTCGCTTTCAGCCTCAGTATACCCCCCACTGTCACTTCAGGAATGAGATGAGGACCACTTTCCCCCACAACCCTCACTCATCAGCTCCTCCCCTTCATCCCTAGTTAACTTCCACCTTACAGGATTCCCACTCATCATTCATTGAGCAGTCTTAAAATGGCCCTGCTCTGAAAAATCTTTCCTTATAGCCATAGTTCTTGGAATCCAGTCCTATATGCTACAATGCTAGGCATCACAGTATGCTAACTTCAGAAAGCTGGTTCAATTAACTCATTCATGAGATGAAGAGAATGAGGTCCAACGATGGAAGACAAGTGGCTTGCACATAGTCTCAGGCCAACAGTAGATTCAGCTGGGTGAAGTCCAATCATTCTGAGAACTAGGCCAGGGTTCTTTCCACTACATCTTTTCTTAGCTGGCATTTAGTGCTGATTAGTGGGCAACTCAGTGTGTAGGACCACAGACATGGGAGTCAGAAAGAACCTTAAGCAGTATTTCCACACAAAACAAAAGTTATTTTCTCTATAATCCCTTTTATTTATTTAAAGAATTAATTCACTTAATTGACTACCTTCTATTTAGTTGGATAAATGAAAGAGCAACAGACAGAGGAGAGATGGAGGGAAGGAATGTGATCTTCTGTGTACTGGTTCACCTCTCAAATGACTGCAAGAGCTGGAACTGGGCCAGCTGAAGCCAGGAGCCAGGAACTACTTTTAGGTTTCACACACGTTCTCAGAGAACTCAAGCAACTGGTCATCTTCTGCTGCTTTCCCAGGTACATTGGCAGGGAGTTGAATTAGAAGTAGAGCAGTCCAGCCCTGACCCCCGCCAGCCAAAAGCTGGCGGCAGGGCAGGTAGGGTGGGTTCCGGTCTCAGGGCAAGGGGCAGGCTTAACCCCTCTCAAGGTGGCTCTTGTTGGGGGCGCCCCTGCCAGATGGAACTCTGCTGGGGTTTTGGCCACAGCCCCCGCCACAAGGCGGGGGCAGAGACCTCGGTCTTGGGTGGCCAGTGCACCAAGTGGTGCTGGCCGCCCAGTGGTGAGCTCTGGAGTTTTTATGATATGAAATAGCTGCTTACGGACACCCATAAATAAAACCAGCGCTAGTGTAGGCGAGTCACGAATTTCTAGTTATTTCCAGGAACGGAGACATGAATCCTTAATGCAAGTGTGGGGCTGAGACCTGAAGGTTTGGACTAAGCAAACCTTAGCCCAGAAGCATGATTGGAACACAGGGTGGAGCTCAGGACATGCCCAGCAAGGTTTTGGCTCCAACTGGTCCACATTAACCACAGAGTTGAGCCACGGTATCTAAGGCAAGGGTGGATGGGGCTGCGGCAGGGTCTGGATACAATTGTCATCTCCCTTGGCACAAGTGTGGACTGGAATAAGACGTACCGGGCTGGGCCAGACCACAACACCTTCTGGTGCTTTGGAGGACCAGGGTAGATGTGGGACAGACTAGGCTAGGTCTCAACCCCAACTGAGCCATATACGAGCTATATGGAGGTGTGGACAAGCAGTGGCTGGGCTGAAACATCCTACAGCAAGAACCAGAATGGGATGAAGGCCAGTTAGGAAAGGCCACTGTTCCTGCTAGGACAGGAGGCGAACTGGCACATGGACCCACTGGTATGCACGAAACCTGACACCTGGAGGGGTTCTGATGGAGGAGCCTCCTCTGGCAGGACACAGATCCTGCAGGTCAGTGCAAGAAACATGGAAGGCAACAGCCAAGAGGCCATGGAAAGTGTCCCACTGGCATGCATTTGGCATGGGTCGGGGGCAGACCAGGCTGAATCTGTTCATGTCGTCCACTGGTAAATCCAAGCGCCAGAACAGAGTATGGGTCAAACCAGGTCCGGTCGTGACAAAAGCAATACACAATTTGGAATGCCAAGGTGAGGTAGCCTGAGCTAGATGCGACCGCAGTGCCCAGCCAGCACACGTGAGAACCAGGAAGGGAGGAGGCAGAGCTGACCGGGGAATAAGGGGTGGTTCCCTAGCTGAACAGCTACTTCCACTGAGGAGTGTGAGCTGGGTAGGGGGTAGACCAGACCAGGCAGGGTCACAGCACCTGCACACCTCATGTGGACCAGATTGGGTGAAAACCTGGCTGGGTTGACTATTCCCACTGGTGCAATCTATAATCATAGTGGGTGAGGGCTGTTGGGGCTTGGTCGTAGCATCTGCTGGCAGAAGCTGGTACAGGGGGCTAGTCATGTCGAGTTGAGCCACAGGGCCAACTGGAGAGGGCACAACTGGAATGGGAGTGACCTGGGAGGGAAATAGTGCGCTCCTCCCTCTTGGGTCATCACCTTCCACGGGAGGGCACGGGAACTAGGACAGGGGCTGGGGTGGCTAGACAGTCACCCAACAACATCAGCTAGGGCTGGTTGGATGAGATGGTTGGACGGAATTAGGTCACAACAGCCGTTGGCAAGTATACGAGCAGAGGGGAATATGGGACAGACTAGACTAGTCTGTCATACATACTGGCAAGCCAGGGTAGGGGGTGGGCCCGGTTGGGGCTACTGTGGGCCGCCTTTACTGGGCTGCAGCTCCTACTGGTTTTTGGGAGGGCCAAGTGTGTCCAGGGCGGAACCAGGCCGGACTGTAACACTCATCGGTTCCAGTGGAGGACATGGATGGAGACAGAACCAACCCAGCAACTATAACCACCAGCTGATCGAGGTGATGGACTGTGCAGGGTCCTATGCTTGCTAGAACACGCAGGAATCTGGACTGGGAATACATCAAAACTTCTTTGAGGATCTCCCCAGTCGAGACACTGGACTCAGAGTCCTAACCAAGAAAAGAGAACTAGTCAATCAACAACCTCAGCTATCTGTGGGCAGCAAAATGCTGGGCAAAAGGAGACTCTAGAAGGGCCTGTCAATCAATGGATTCTTCAACGACCACACTGTGCTTGGAGTGGCGAGACTGGTAGCGATCCATGAATGGGGAACTACTGGAACCACTTGATCGAGTATCTCAGAGCATGCCCCACATCCGGGACTTGGGGTGGGCGGGAAACTGGATGGGGCTTCTCCCTCTATATCCCCTTTTACCTCAGTTGAATATGTAAGGATTGTCAAAATAAAAAATTAAAAAAAAAAAGTAGAGCAGTCAGAACTCAATGCAGCACTCCAAATTAAGATGACAGTGTCCTTAGCAATGGATTAAGCCTCTATACCATGGCACAGCTGCCTACGCTCCCTTTAAAGTGAATGGATGCCCAAGGACACATTCATGAGCTTGGGAGCTTATCGATGCAGTAGGTGTCTGAGGTGCCAACATCCCATAAGGGCACTGGTTTGAGCCCTTTCTGCTCCAAAAAGCAGTAGAGGGTGACCCAAAGGGCCTTGGGCCCCTGCACTTACATGGAAGACCCAGATGAAGCTCCTGGCTCCTAACTTTGGACTGGCCCAGCTGAGGCAATTGTAGCTATTCGGGAAGTGAATCAGTATATGGAAGCTCTCTGTCTCTCCTTCTCTCTGTAACTCTGCCTTTCAAATAATAATAATAATAACAACAACAACAATAATCCTGTACCTTGGAATTCTCACACACACACCAATGGCCCAGGTGTCAGGGTGCCCTAACTTAACTGATTTTTTTCCATTGCCTGCAGTAAATATGTAGTCATCTATGAGAAACAAAGGACTTGAACAAGGCCTGTCTATTAGAAAGCAAACTCCCATCCTCATATTCTGACCATCTTTGTTGGTTGACCAGATAGAAAAATCCTGAACAAATTTCATTCTAAAAACAAAGGCAGAGAACTCACAGAAAACCTTCTGGAAACTAATGTGAAAATTGATGCCAAACATAGATTTGGTTTCCAAATGGTAGACTTGAGCAGCAGATAATGAAATAACATGAGAAATCTTAGAGGATTTCATCCCATGATGTTTCATGTGAGAGAAAGAGACACTGCAGTTTCTCTCAGCAAAGGGAGTCAGCAAAATTGTCTGGGAAGGTAACTTGGCCCATCATCTCTGAAATACATCTTCTGTCAGGAAAATCCTAAAGTCTTCCCAGGTGCATGCATTGGCTGAGCTCACAAATCTCAGCATTGCTGGCCACATGATGCCTGTGAAGTATTGGTGTTACTGGCTGTATGCTGACAGTGGCCAACAGTCAGACAAGAGCAGGAGCAGGTCAACTTCTTTTACGCTCCCATATTCTCTTGCTACTATCATTCTTGTTTCTTTGATGGGATCTGACTTCCTTGTCACCTGCTCTTTGAATTCCTCCCTGGGGTCTTGGGGGAGACTTAAAACTCCCCTTTGGGGGCCAGTGCTGTGGTGTAGCAAGCAAAGCTGTTGCATGAGATGCCAGCAGCCCATATAGGCACTGGCTGTGTCCTAACTGCTTCACTTGTGATACAGCTCCCTGCTAATGCACCTGGAAAAGCAGCAGAAGATGGTCCAAGTCATTGGGCCCCTGCACCCACATGGGAGACACAGATGAAGCTCTGATGTATGGAATGGCCCAGTCCTAGCCATTGTGGTCATCTGAGGAGTAAACTAGCAGATGAAGATCTCCCTCTATTTCTCTCTCTCCACCTCTATCCCTCCCTCTGTCATTCTTCCCTTTGAATAAATAAATCTCTTAAAAATGATAAGCAATTATGGAAACAGCTTTGTTCTTATCAACTAATATCTGCATATCTATATTCTCACTATCAAGTAACGACAGGAAAATACTCATTTATCCAAGACACTGTTTTTTCTTTTTAGGCATATTTCTTCTTCTTCATTGAGTATATCTGAAGCCCAGATGGCTCCAGATCAAGTTTACTTATTTATGTGTTTATTTCAGATGCTGACTTAGGTAAAAAGTTGTGACCCTCCAGGGAAAAACAAAGTACAGGCTAGAAAAACAGTCCCAACTAGCCTAAATTTTACGTAGTTCAGTAGAAACCACGCTTGAATACTTTAAGCTGCTAAATATATAAATGAAAATAGACACGAGACAGCTGAATAGCACCAAATAACTATTTTAAGGTATATAGCAGCTGGTACAGGAAAACTATAATTAAGATGTCAATGAAGTAGTTACAGGATGTGGTTAAGAACTTGCATTTTCTAACATACTGGTCACTCAATACCATGTCAATTAACTACATCATGTTGTAAATTGTTGTTGAAGTTGTGTAGTGGCTTTTCATTGGTGCGGGGGATGATATTCTGCCAGCCCTACTTTCAGACCAGGGATGGTTTTTCAATGAAACTGTTGAATTTATCTGGACAATAAGATGCTGGACTCTCTGTATGGTCTATGCTCACAATGAAGGAATCATGACTGGTTATGATCTGTACTACTGCAACAATGTGGAGGAATTCAATGTGGAAGGAGGGTTTAGGAAGGGGTTGGGGGAATCCCAGAGCCTATGAATCTAATCTGTGTCATAAAATGAAATAAATGTAGTTAAAAAAAATTTAAATTATCTGAAATTTAAGAAAGAGAAAAACAGTCCCAAAACATAGAGTGTTTCCTAAATTGCAGTACGAAGATGGTCTTATTTTGGGATGTTGATTCCCTTTTTTTTTTTTTTTGCACTTTCAAGACCAGAAGACCAAGCTGAAGTGCAGTGAAGGGCATGAGGATTTCCATGGTCAACTGAACATGCCTCCTCTCAAAGAGAGGTGGGGTTTGGGAAAGAGAGGATCAAGGTCAGAAAGGACTTACACACCTGGGGTCAACCTTGAGGTCTTCCTGGGAGTCCCTCAGCCCTTTCTTCTCCTGCGGCTGTCCCATCATGAAGAAGGTGTCCCTGATGGTGGGGAACTCGTCCAGTAGTGCTCTCAGGCTGTTGCAGTATGCCATGATCTGACCCCGGAGAGCATAGTGAGACATGCGGCGGTTCAACCTGAGTCAGCAGAAAGGATGATGTCCCCACGGAGGACCCAGCTTGCCCGCTCCCCTCCCAGGACTTCCAGGATCAACTGCCCCAGAGGAATTGTCAAAGAGGTCAGAGCACCTCCAGGTCCATCTGGGTCAGGTGGGCACTGCCAGGTGAACACCTGCTGGTACTTCCTGTTCTCCACTTGTGATGTTCCTCACTATGTCAGGGGGACATTTAACCTGTTTCTATCCAGTAGAATTGTACTTTACTTAAACACTGACCACCTAGATCTCTATGTATCATTGCTGGTTATTCCATTCAGGGTGGGAGACATTGGCAGGCATTATTTACAAAAAATGTACTTACTTCTGACAATATTCAACTATAAGATCCCTCTTGACTTTTCCAATTTCATCCTGTGATAAAAGAGAATGATAACTCCTGTGTTGGATAGATGACTAGAAGAACTTAGCCATCCTAGTATATGAGTGTAATAGGTGCAGAGCTACAGTCAAGCTTAAGCAGGGGGAAAAAAAGTTATGCAATTGAGACATTTTCAGCAGGCCAGTTTGAATACAGTCTTTTCGGTCTCTCTTGACCCTGCACATCTTTCTCAGCATGCTTAAAATGCAGGGCCTTGACTACTTTTTGGGGTGCTGAGAACAATCCTGAGTCTCAGGGTGAGGTTTTCTAATAGGAGAAAGAGCAGGCTTGCTATAACAAGGTTGGGTTCCCAAGCCTGATGTGTCTCAGCTGTGGCAGGCACGCAGGCTCCTCCACATGATCCTCCGAGTAGGTGGGAGGCAAACTCACAGTGCCTGCTCCGCTGTAACTCGGCTCTTTCTCTGACTTCAGAGTCTTTGTCTTCTGCTAGCATCCACAGAGCAGTTACAGGCTAACTTATTTTCCAGTCTCTCCTTTCTGTAACTCTGCCTTTCAAATAAGATAATAAAATAAATCTTTAAAACCCCAGATCCTGATGCAAATGACAATGATGTTGTCTGAGTGCTTTGTGAGATGGTGGTTGTTGGATGATCCTGACAGGCAGCTGATGAATGGTTGTATTTTTCCATTTGGTTACTGTTTTTTGAGAAGCAGTCCCTTAGGAGGGACTCTTTGCTTGGATTACTGCTTGGCAATAATTAGAAGGCCTCCCTTCCATCATCATAGCCCCTTTTGTAGAACTGGTTGAGGCCAGTTGAAGTCGTTCTTTTTTGATCACAAGTAAGGACAAAACCTAGAAAAATAAGCCTGGTTGTCTTCCTCCCCGAGAACTATGCATCAGAATTTCCTCATTCAAAAACAAAAACCTAATAGATAATGAAATGAAATTCATAAGGGTAACAATAATGTGAACTAAGTGAAAATTGGAGTTTTATAGTATTTTTCTAATAAATTAGGGTAATATAAAAACTCAAAAGCAATGTGATAGCTTCTAGAAAAACAAGATAGCAGGTGACCAGTTGGAAAGATGTTCACCTTGTCTAAATCATCTGAATCCCCAATGGATCCACTGAAGGATAAGCTAATGTTTCATGGCAGGTGCTAAAACACGATCATGTAGAAAATGACCCCAATAAAAGTGGTCTTGGAAAAGCATACACTTTTAGAAACTCAACTGTCATCTGCTATTGATTTTTTTCTAAATTTTTCTTCCTTTGTTTTATATGTTACTTGAAAGACAGAGTCAGAAGGATTTATCAATGCTGTAACAGCCAGAACTGGACAAGGCAGAAGTCAGGAGCTCAAAACTCAGTCTGAGTCTTCCACAAGGATGGCAGGGACCCAAGTGTTTGAATGGTCACCTAATGTATCCCAGGGTCCACCTTCGCAGGAAGCTAGAATTGGGAGTTTCACACTCAGGTCTTCCAACATGGAATGTGAGTACCCCAAGTGACATCTCAACAGCTGTTCTAAACACCTGCCCCCCAGTTTTCCCTAATCTATATATATAGTAATAATATATATTTGTATATATATTATATATACATTATGTCCCCTGCTTTACAGTCTATTTTCAGAGGTCCTGCCAAAAGAAAGTGAAAGCAACAAACACTTAATTTGCTCAAACATAAAAGAGGACCTGAGCTTTGGGAGCCTTTGCCCTACATACTCACGGGGTTCTCCATCTTATCGCCCAGAGTCTGTTTCCTAAGGAGGAAGTCATTCAGCATCATGTCCCGCAGTCCTGCCTTTTCCAGTTGAATTGACACAAAAGCCTCAGGAACTCTGCCAAGAGAACAGGATGCTGAGCCCCAGGCAGGAGGTCAGCGGACATGCAGTGTCAGGACAGCTGATGGGTTGGTTGGGAGTCACAAAAGCAACGACCCCATCTGTGCAGCTGTCTCCTGCTTCAAGCATTTCTGAAGATTCAACAGGGCTGGGACTAGGACGCCATCTTCCTCTGGGATCTCCATGTACCCTTCCCAATCCCAGACATCAGAGCTGGGACCTTCTGAAAGAAACTGTACATGTACCTAGGCTGCACTTACCTCACAAGGGTGTTCTCAGCCAGTTTTGAATCTTGGCCATGTGTCAGATTCAAGGCATTTTTTTTAAAAAAAAACATTATTTTGTTTGAGAAATAGTAATTCAGACAGAAAAAAGGAGAAATTTTATATACTGGTTCATTTCCCCAAATTTTTTGCTTGACTAATAGATTGATTTGAAAAACAGAGTGAAAAAAAAAAAAAGAAAAGAAAAGCAGAGTAACAGGGGGCGGTAAGAAGGAAGGACAGAGAGAAAGGGAAGGCAAAGATGGGGAAGGGGAGGAGTAAGAGAGAGAAAGAGAGAGAATCTTTCACCCATTGGCTCATTCCCCAAATGTCTGCAATGGCTAGGACTAGGCCAGACCTTTCACATGGTTAGCTGGGGCCAAAGCATTTGGACCATCTTTCATTGTTACTAAGAGTCTTAGTGAAAACTGGATTGGTAACGCAGATTAGCACAACTAGAGCTGGCATGCTGATATGGGATACCTACATTGCAAGTGGGGGCCTTAACCTTCCAGTTAACAACGCTGGCCCCACCTGCAAGGTTGGTGATGGCCAGGCCTGGGCCTCGATAAAGCTGGAGATTCAGTCTGGGTCCCAAGTGGGTGGGTGGAGTCCGATTGTTTCAGCCATGACTTTTGCCTTCTAGGGTCTGTACTGGCAGGAAGCTGGAGTCAAGAGCTGGGAGATGTGGGCATTTTAACCAGTATCTGAACAGCTAGGCTAAATGCTGGCCCTAGTTGTATCGTAAGTAGAAGTGTTTCTTTACATGTTATTGTTTTTCATTCTTGTCAGAATTGAATCAGAGTAATATTGATATGCCCCAATAAGATATACTGAGAGCAATCACAATTATTACAGGCTTTACATATCTCTTATTCTAAAAAAGGTTGCAATATAACGAGGCATCCCTAATTTATACTTGTATCTCTATAGAAATCATGACTTTCTGCCAACTCACCATCCTATTATTCTCCAAATTTTTGCTAGACTAGTGAGGGCAGTTTTGTGCCTCTCAAGATAAATATGGGAAATTTGCACACACCTATAACTCTTCTTCCTTGTGCTCTATCATGTTTGGCGTTTGAAAAATTATGCAGAGAGGAGAACAAATGAAGCAAGGGAAGAGAAGGAGAAAAAGGAGAGACGAGAAGAGAGAAGGGAGGTGGTGAAGTTAGGAACAGCTGGTTTCTCTCTGGAGTCTGTCGAAAGGAGTTGAGCCTTCTCTCTGTTTCTACAGGATCTTCATGTAAGATCTTAAATAGATGCCAGACACTCAGAGTCTAGGCTCCTTCTACAATTCCCCTATAAGCACTGTGTAACTGCTTGGCTTAAAATATGACATTCCTGGGACCAGTGCCACGGCATAGTAGACTAAGGCTCCACCTGCAAAACTGGCATTCCATATGGGTGTTTGTGTCCAGGCTGCTCCACTTTTGATCCAGCTCCCTGTTTATGATCTCGGAAAGCAGTGGATGACTCAAGATCTTGGGCCCCTGTTTCCATGTGGGAAAGTCAGAAGCTCCTGGTTCCTGCCTTTTGATTGGTTCAGCTTTGGTCATTGCGGCCGTTTGAGTGAGCAAGCAGATGGAAGATTCTCTCTCTCTTACTCTCTCTGTTTCTTCTCTGTAACTATGCTTTCAAGTAAAAATAAACTAAATCTTTAAAAAATAGAGGACAATTACACTATTTTAAGCAGAACCCCTTATCCCCAAGTACAGTACCTTTTAGAAGTCTGGAATGTTTCTGAAGAATGAGTGGGTGCATCTGGGGCTCTTGGGGTTGGAGGTATCAACGGACTTTCCATGTCATTAACAATCCTAGAATTTCTTCTTCTGGACTGACCCATTTTACCAGGATTCTGCATATCTGAACTTCTTTCCTAAAACATTTGAAACCACAATGAATAGAATTTGTTAGATGTAGAAGTCTTAAAATATTAGATATAAAATTATTTCATAACCACGGTTGACCCAAAAATCACTGTAAATGGCCAGATACTTGGGAGGGGAAGAATGAAAATAAGAAAAGGGGAGGGAAATGGAGGGAGAAAAGGGAAAGGCTAATGCTTTGCACAATGCAGGGTGGGGCTCCAAGTACAGTGCTTTTCAGAATAGAGTGCAGTTGTCTCAAGTTCTGACACAAATTGTGTGTTCTATCAAGTGGCTAGGTGGAGTGCTCTCTAGAACACGACCTCTCCAAAGTATTGTTGATAGATTGCATAGCTACAAGGTCTGGAAAACTCTCTCAAGATGCTCAGACAGTTGGAGGGCCACCGTGTGCTGTCATTCCAAATGTAATGATGAATGAGGAGGAGGAAGGGAAGAGGGGAAGGGTGGACAAAGGGCGAGTTGGTGCCTTCTAATATCCCACCTCCATTGCTCATGGAACTGCAAGACATGGTGGATGGGAGCCTTACCTGTTTCCCTAAACTGCTAGCTGAAAAATACAGTCTTCCAAGGATAAAACGTTTTTATCAATGATAGAATTACTGAAGCAGACATAAGGTAAGTAAGGCAAAGCGAAAAAGCTCCTGAATAAAAAGTTAAAGATCTAAACCTTATTTTTTCTGAATGCCCTTGAGATTTGATAGACTTCTGCAAATAGGAGCAACTGCTGGTTCCAGAGAGCTGGGGTGTGAGGCGAAGAGGGCCAGGTGCTGTTTCACCAGGCCCCAAGTGAGGTGAGAAGGCAGGAAAGCACACACTCTTGTCACTTCCTTAACCTTCCAGAGTGTTTCCTCTCCTAGAAAAAGGGTGGTAACGCACCCTCCGTGAGGCTGTGAGAAGAAGCCATGAGCTCAGGTTTTCTCCCAACACTTTGCTCCCTGCCAATCTGAACTTGAAAGCTCATGAATTGAAATGTTGACTCCTTGGGCTGTGTTTTTGGCATAGTGCTGAAGACGTTGCTTGGGATACCTGTACCCCATACTGGGGGCAACTTATGGCTGTGCTTCTGATTCCTGCTTCTTGCTAATGTAGCCTCTGGGAGTCAACAGGCGATGGCTCAAGTGCTTGAGTCCCTGCTATTCATGTGGGAGACCAAGACTGAATTCTGAAATCCTGGCTTTGGCCTGCTCCAACCTTGGCTGTTGAGGGCGTGTGGGAATAAGTCAGCAGATAGAAGATCCTTGTCTATCTTTTCAATTAAAATAAATATTCAAAATGTAAACTCCCTAGCTCCTCCTCTGTACTTCCCATCCCAATTCTGCTGAACTTCCATTTCTGTCCTCAATTGCTTCTTTTTCCAACCCCTTCCTGCTATTCTCTTTTTAGTTATCTGTCACTCCATTTTTCAAATAAATAAATCTTTGTGGGGAGAGGAGAATCTTCCCAAGAAGGATATGTAAAGCTCATCTAAGAAACCTAGACAAACATCTTTGGGAAGATAACATCAGATCCCATTTTCCAGATATTCATATTACAATCCCAGTCCACCTGTCCAGGCTGTTATCTTAATGACACCCACCTGCTCCCTAGACTCCAAGTCCTTCTAAATATTACCCCAGGGCCTCCCCACAGTGTCTTCTGCCCAGTGTCTTTCAACACGTGAACCTATACCTTAGATAGATATCAAGTGGTGAATTGCAAGCCCTCAACTTTCACTCTCACCAAGACACGCCACTTACATCTGTTTTCTATATTAGACTTCAATAAATTGACTAAAGGATTCTATATGTCAACTGTACATGAAAATCACAGACAGTGGTCAAACTGGGCTCCCCATTTCTTCCTGGTCCCTACCTACCCTTTGTTAATCCCATGCTGTACTCACTACTCAGCCTGATTGACCGTAGGTCCTCTTTGTCAGGTTCTCCCAAGGTCCCTTTCCTGTGCTGCCCATCCAGGATCCCCTGCTGCAGTCTTTCACTTTTGTCTGTAGCTGTAAGCCTCTCGGAGCCAGTTGGGGTTGGGCCTCTCACCCTTTTACACACTGAACCTTGAGTTCCATGGGATCTGGTGGCTCTAACTGCTTGAAGGAACCCAGTTAAGATCAGGGAGTTGATGGTCTATACCTACAATGTCAAGATACACTTAAATAACAGAATCATGGACCCGTGACAGTTGCCAAAACACTGTACTATTGTAATAATTTGGAAAAACAAGTGTGGGGGAAGGAAAATTGGGAGGGTGGAAAGGGCCATCCCTGAGCCTATGGAACTGTATTGGGAAAAATCTTTTTTTTAAAGATTGGGGAGTTGGATTTTTAATAATCAATGTAATTATTCAACCCTAATTTTCCACTGAAGTGTCTGATTGCTGTGGGACATAGTATTTGGAAGAACAAGGGAAGACACTGTTTTTGCCATCTGCATGTTTGCACTCTCCTGTGATTGTAAAGAGGATAAATGGATAAGCCTAGGGGCGGAAGGGAGAGGGTAAAAATGTGCTAAGAGAAGAATATAGTGAACTGCCCAGAATCCACGGAGCCTAGAAATGAAGACCATCTGGAAGGTAGATTTCTGCAAATTTAATTTTAAACCTAAGTTGCATTCCCTGGCATACACACAGGAGGGAAATATATAGCTGTGAGAAAAAAAAAATAAAATGGAGAAAAAGCTCAATAAACTATTGGGACTGATTTGCAGGATATATAAGTGAGAGAATACAAAAGAATATATCCAGACCCCAAACCAATTCATGTTAAGAGAAAAAAATTCAACATACTAGGAACATAACATAAGGTGCTCAAGCTGGGAAAAGGGAGTTATACAAAACTTATAGCTATCATCATATTTAATGGTAAAAGTTGGGCATTTTTATTCCTAAAATCAGGGATAAGATAATAATATCCACTCCCATTACTTCTATTCAGCCTTGTCCCGGAAGGCTCAGCCAAGGCAATAAGTGGGGTACAAAAAAGAAAAGGGATCCATATGGGAAAGCAAGGGGTGAAAGCATCCTTACTTGTGAATGATCTGATCTTATGTAATGAAAGATGGAGAAATGCATGCAAGCATGAACATGCCCACACATACCAACTATTAGAATAAATACGCCAATCATATAAGGTTACAGAATCACCCTGTAAATATCAATTACATGTCTATATACAAATAATAAATGTTCAGAAAATGAAATTAAGAAAATAATTCCATTTATAGTTACATCAGAAAGATAAACTATTTGGGATTAATATAACAGAAGTAGAAGAGTGGACACTGAAAACTATGAAATATGATTGAGAAAAGTTAAAGAAGACCCAAACTATTGGAAATATGTCCAGTGTTCATGAATCAGGAGGCTGAAGACAATGATATCACTAACTGCTCCACAGGTGCAGCACAATTCCTATCAAAACACCAAATGGCTTTTTCTTTTAACAGAAACTGACAAGCTAATGCTACGACTCACATGAAAACTTGAGACCCAAATTAGCTACAGCAATCTTTAAAAAGAAGAATGAGGTGGGAAGGCGTATATTTCCTCATTTCAAAAATAGCTATCAAGCCACAGTAATCAAAAGGCTGTGATACTGACATAAAAAGACATTTACATCAAACAGAATTGACAGCCCTAAAAAGAAATTCTTTCATTTACAGCCAATTGATTCTTGACAAGAGTTCTGGGACAATTCTATGGAGAAAGATGAGTCTTTTCAACAAATTGTGCTGGACAGCTGGATAACCACATGCAAAAGAATAGAGTTGGACTCATATCCTATTATAGATAAAATGTAAGCATAAATGGGCCATGGACCTAAATGCAAGAGCTCAAACTAGAAAACACTTAGGAAAAAAGCATAGGAATAAATCTTTATAACTTTGTATTCAGCAATGGTTTCTACACATGACCCCAAAAGAATAAGTGACAAAAGAAAGAGTAACAAATGGAACTCACAAGACAATTCGCAGACCTGAGGAAAATCTTTACCAAGAACATGGCTTCTAAGGGACATGTACTGATCAAACTTACAACTTGTTAAAAACTGAAGAAAGCCCACTCAATTTTATAAAACAGAAGAGGCTAAAATAGATATTTCTCTAAAGAACTTACAGAGATGGCCAAATAAACACATGACAGCATGTTCTGTGTCTTAGTAATTCAGCCATTTTACCTCTAACAGGACAGCTGGGGAAAAAAAAGAACCAGACAAAAGTAACAGATATTGGCCAAAATGTGGAGTTGATGGAGCACTCAAACATTGCTGGTGAAAATGCAAAATGGTGCAACCACTATGGAAATTTTGATCACTCCTTAAAGGGTGAAACATGTGGTTACTACATAGTCTACCTATTCCATTTCTAAATATATGGCCAAGAAAGAATTAAAACATAGGTCCTCACAAAAACCTGTATGTAAAAATTCCTAGCATTACTCCTAATAGCTAAAAAAAATTTTTTAAAAAGTGGGTGAACAGGGCCCGGCGCGGTGGCGCAAGTGGTTAAAGGTCCTCGCCTTGCACGCCCGGGATCCCATACGGGCGCCGGTTCTGATCCCAGCAGCCCCGCTTCCCTTCCAGCTCCCTGCCTGTGGCCTGGGAAAGCAGTCGAGGACGGCCCAAAGCTTTGGGAACCTGCACCCGCGTGGGAGACCCGGAAGAGGCTCCTGGCTTCGGATCGGCATAGTATCGGCCCGTTGCGCTCACTTGGGGAGTGAATCATCGGACGGAAGATCTTCCTCTCTGTCTCTCCTCTCTGTATATCCGCCTTTCCAATGAAAAAAATAATAAAAATAAATCTTTAAAAAAAAAAAAAAAGTGGGTGAACAAAAGGTTGTGTAACTGAACCTGACTCAACACTCAACAATAGAAAGTGCTGATTCTTGCCTCAACACATAGACTTTGGGGACATTGTGTTAAGTGAGAAAGCTAGACACAAACCTGTGATGCTGTGTGATTTTCTTTATGTAAGATGTGTAGAGTAGGCAGATCTATAGTGAC